TATCTCAAGTTCGCCTTCTTCCACCACATGGAGGGTGTTCCATCCATAGTTTGCTTTCAGTTCCTTAGGGAAACAAAAAGATGCAGAGGGCTTGTTTCACGGGACTTTTCCAATTACTTATCACTGTTTCAGAGCAGGATTAAACAACCAAAACATAAAAGACAGCTTTCTCCAGCATCAAGCACGGGACATAAACTTCCTAATGTTCTTATACCAGAAAAATTAACTGGAAGATCCTATACAACGTATAGTTGCAGTAAAGATACTGGGATTAACAGATTTAGCAGTGGCTTTGCAGTAATATTGGCGCAGCTATAGCACAAGCCACAATGGTTGAACCAATTTAAAGGTTTCAGCCTAAGAAGTGTAAAAGAGAGAATTTTAAGATAAGCTTTAATGGAAGGAGGGCTATAAGGCCAGGTTAACTTATGTCAGAAACCCGACCCTCACTTTCATTTGTACTGCAAGAACAGACTTTTGCCTACAGTTTTAAGCAGAACAATAGTTTGGACAGTGACACATGTCACATTTATCTTCCCCGATAACCATCTGCTCATATGTTACACTAAGGAACTCACTAAAATACAACACAGAACAATAACTAGAAGTACAAAGAAATTCAGCCTCTGTCGATACAGATACCAGACTTTGAAAAAGCACAACTGACTCCATTTTGTTTACAAAGCTTCATTTCAGATTCTCAAACCTGCAAGTCTGGCTTCAAAGGCACTCACACAGGGGTGCCTGAGCTAACTCAATGTGACAACCCCAGAACGATCCCTTGCCGCACAGCAGTGCCATCCTTCTCAGGTATCGACCTCCCAGCAGCACAGATCCATATGGCAACCCACAGGGAAGCTTCCACTCAAGGGCAGAGGCTCAAGGCAACAGATCAGCTTCCTCCTCTGGCTGGCCAAGTTTTTAACAGCGCCTCCCTCCCCCCTTCCCTAGAATAAAGTTGTTAATCTACTTCATGCCACCTCCCCCACAACCTGGGAGTGCCTTAATGGTTGACCCGATTTACCACCAACTCCTAAGCCTTTCATGCTGGTACATAAGAGTGGCTCCCTCTATGTTCTGCACATGACCAGTCTCACTGCATTCATTTAAGTGAGAAAGCCTGCACTGTCAAACATACTACCAAGAAACTATAGGCTCAGCTAGGAAAAAATTTGTCTTTCCAATAAAACCACTTTTAAGACAACTGACACGAACAGATCAAATTGTATTTTAACATGATCACCTGGAAATTGACCCTAAACAGGAATGAGCACTCAATGTTTTACGGTTACACAAGTGCATTAAATTACACACACACATACATATATACAATTACACATGTATAGATGTATTTTAAGAACATGACATTTTGAAGAAGCCATCTATCTTTCATCATAACAGATTTACGTTCAGTTTGCGGCCCAGTCCTTGGAAAAAAATCTGAAAGAAGACAGCTAAGTGTGCACTTTCATGAGGTAAAACAAGGCAGCAGGACAAGCTCCCTGTATAGAAGGGCATCAAGTGCTGCTTTTCCCCTGACGCCATTAATCCAGTGTCAACTTTGGCTTTCGTATCATCCTGTGAATCAATTCAACTCTCTGAAAAGGCTAGAAAAGTATCCCTGCAAGGAGGATACCTTTCCACTGAGAGAAGGAAGAGGTCCTATGAGCAACAGAGTTGGGTGTTTCTGCTCCATTCCCTGGCACCATCAACAGTCCTTGCAACACTGCAGTGAACCAACCAGGGGGCTGACCCAGCCAAAAAGTATTCCCACAGAAAGGTTACCCTTTCAGCTGGATCAGCTCACCACTCAGGCACACAAGCACAAGTTCCCTGTGTTAGGGACAGGCTTAGAAATATATGATCCAGGCCACGATCAGTGCAGCAGGGAAGCTTTCCATTGCTGCAGAACCTCACTGAGGAGGAAAGCAAGCTTCTTGCTGCCAGGCTTACTCTTTCTTAGAGACAACTTCAACTCCTTTGAAAAGTGAGGTTTGGACTTTTCAGGAGTGACAGACTACATCAGGCTTCAGTGGATCAAGAGGCTGAAATATATCCCAACTCACAGATTTTTTTTTTTTAAAGTCTGAAAAACAATCTTTCCTCCAAAGCAGCAGGAAGAGTTTAAATAAACATTTCTTCCTAAAAGCCTTCAACTTTGGTTAACCAGATACTCTCCAGCCAGTTGACTCATGGCTTGATTTCCTCTCTCTGCAATGCCCTTCAAATTCCACCTTTTCCCCTTTACTCTCAACTACCCCTCCTCATCCATCCTCAACATCTCATGTCAGAGAGCTATCGCTTTCAGATCCTATTAAGGAAGAGTTACTAGTACAGCAGTATGAATCAGTCCCACGAAGAAGTGGGGCTTTCCTTTCTTTATTTTTCAAGCCTCTTAGAGCTCCAGTCTGTATTCCTCATATTGCAGCTTGTACTGGCATTTAATTCTGTTGACATTTTCCAAACTTTAAAAGAAATTGACTTGAGTGCTTTTCTTAATTTAGAGTCTAGTTACTTCAGAGTTTGTTTTAAATTCATGCTGACATGCTGTCTCCTCCCTAGGATAAATATATAGCTTCACAGTACTATCGTTCCAAGAACAAGGAAAACTCTGCTCCATGAAAACTTAAGAGTCTTATGCAGCAGGCTCACTGCATCAACCCCAGAGTCAGGCACCTCTGCTTTTAACTACATCACATGCTCTTCTACAGTTGTTGCTCATGTTGCTTTGGTAGTAGCTGTCTTGAGTTGTATAGTCTTCCCCTTCCTGCATATACACACAGAGATTACCACCTCCTCAACTTTCAGTGATCTGCTCACTCACTATCCTTTTTCTGTACAACAGTCCAGATTAAAAAGCTCACTAAACTAATAAAAAACTCAGTTCTTGAAAAGCATGGTTCATTTTACAGAATCTTTATGGAAGTTGCCCAGTTAACACTTCCAAGATAGCCTTTCAACCTGGACGGGCTGTAGCTAGACTAGGGCAAAGCTGTACAAACTAAGTTCAGTTGGAGGTGCTTGTTTGGGTTACATGAGCAGTGTCAGTACCACCCAGCCTTTACCATCATCGAGTAAGTAGTCAGCTCACCACAATGGCACAAGCCTCCAACATAGAAGCCAGAAGAAAATGGGGGGTAATGAGCAAAGTAAACCCGTCAGGAAGCAAGCAGGCACAAAAGCATTTATGCAAAAGTAGTAGAGTGGTACTCAATGATACTCTGCTGGTTTCTACTCCAAAAGACAGTCCCTTCTTAGATGATTTATTGCACCAGTTAGATGATTAAGAGCCCTGGAGGTCAGAAGCAGTAATTTAATTACTAACAGACAAGCCCTTGTCTAGGACAGGCTTCAGAAACTCAGAACACTGCACCAGTGAGGTTCTTTAGTATAATCCCTTCCTTCTTGTCTTTTGGGGACATGTGAAATGTTTCAGTATGGATACTGCTGAACAGCCTTATGATCCAATTTAAGCAAATCTTGGAAGATGATAAGGTTTGTAGAATTCTGTGTTAAGATGGGAGTTTTTAGTTAGCCATCCAGCTCCAAAAAGTTGGTGTTTGGTCTTCTGTTGTAACAAGTTAACATCACAAGCTAAAGGGAGACATCAACAACAGTTTAGTATCTATAGCATCATAATACTATTTCATTCCACAAGCGCAAAGACTTAAGGGGAGAAAAACAACTTAGCTGCTCCTGTCCCACTCAAAAAGCTTGAAGTTATAGTTATCTGACAGGCTAAAAGTTACAGCTTATTCTCATTACCCGGTGAGGCAGAAAAACTGTCTCAGAGCACATCAAAACAGCCAGTCCCCAAGACACATAAGCTGTACATCTAGTAGCCTGCCCTCTGTACACAGGAATTCCACAGTACTGCAGGAAAGTGATCTAGGAGAGGCGGAAAGAGTGCTCACTGCCAACAGCAATAGATTTAACAGCTTCCATTTATTAAGAAAATTTAAGAGATTAACTCAAATCCTCATCTACTAGAAACAAGCAATGCTTGGATGGACAATGGGTTTGCTTGGGGGGTTTCTAATTATTACTGTTTGTACCATACATGTGCCAGGAAAGTACACCAAATTCAGAAAGTAAGTTTACTTCTTAAATGTGGCATTCTATCAATGTTTACTCAAAAAAAGTCTTATTAGTTAAATCACATAGAAGAACTGAATTTCAGAATCTAGATCATCCAAGGCTAGCAAAGCTAGAAGGTAGTAGCGCAGAACATAGCTTCCCACTATGTTTTCCCCACCTTAAGTCTCTATCCAGGCAAAACTACTTGTAATATCATAATAGTTACTGTTAGATATCATTCAGCAAAAGTAACTATCTACCTATCCCTGGAATTTAATTCCCTACATAAATTCCTTCTGTAGTCTGAAGCACTCTACTGCCTTCCTTCCAGTCCTTACCTAGTATTTCTATTTGCATTATAACACATAGCTGAGGTAAGATGCAATAAACAGGCAGCTGTGTGTGCAGAGTAATCCTTGTATGGAGATAGCTCCAGATTCTCTGCACAGATGGGTCAGAAGTTTCACACTAATCCAACAGCTGATTAGTATTTTATATTTGGTGGCAGCACTGAAGACACAGCCAGAGTCATAGGTAGTTACAGCACTAGATGTACTGGCATGAAAGATAGCCAAAAATAAGTCTCAGTTGGAAAAATCAAGACCAGGCTTAGAACTGCTATACAAGATCAGAACTTTCTTCAAAATGTTTCATGCTCAAGTGCATTTGTACAGAGCTTCATATACATATATATTGTATTTTACATGACAGGATTATGCTGCAAGAATGCAAAATTTGTAACAGCACTTTGTTTTCAGTTCCACAGCCACTTCTGTCAGAGATCTGAGAACAGAAGGGGTGAGAAGACTGACAGCAGAAGCAGAGAGCTTTGTGCCTTGACACCTTGCCCTGTAACAGACAAGCTGGGGAAGGCGGGGGAAGAAGGAGTGGAAAATAAAGTTCTCAAGTTGGAAGTATCTTACTTGAATAGCCTGTCGTCCTTGCTGAGCATCTGCCAGGAGCTGAATGGTGAGTGTCCTGGAATCCTGTAGGGCATCTTGGAGGTAGATAAAGCTGTGACCCACATGTCGTCCCATGGTACATTCCCGACATATGGGGACAGAACAGGTATCACAGTAGAAATGCAGTACCTAGAAGAAAAAAAATCTGTATCACTATCTAATGAAGAATTAAAGAGAAAACAGCACCATGATGAAAAAAAATCCAACTCCTCAGCTATAATGGGGATGATTAGAGGCAGTAGCAACAGGCAAAGACTTCACAGTAGTTTCTCCACGGAGGAAGAGCTATCTCTTCCAGTAAGCTCCAAACCATACTCTTAACAGTTAGATGGAAGTGTCATTGTTTTCTCTGCAATACAATACTAGGAAGAGTGTCCACATCAGCTCCTCTTAAGAGCGGAAGCCATCTGCCAACACTTGCAGATTGGCGATGTCATCTATGGCAAGTTTCAGGTGAAAACTTTTCCTGCATACACAAACACCACATTCTCTTAAGTGGATCATTTAATAATCACTGCATTGGAAAACTGCAGCACAACCACACCCACCTCCCAGAAGGGAAAAACAAAAGTCTGCATGCCAAGAAGCATCATTCCCTCCCCCCCTGCAAATCCCTTGTGTACAGGGTGACAATATTAGGCAAGAGTCCCTGCTGCCACTCCCAAGAGCAAAGCAAAAAAAACCCTTCGCTATGACATACTGTTTGTATGCTAGTGGGTACATAAGAGATGCTTAAGTTGGAGAATAAGACTGGAACATTGGCATGCCCATCAGAATGCTACAGTGAACTGTGGGTAACCGCTAAAACCCCATTCTATTCACAAAGCACTTTAAAACCCTATATTCGAAACACAATGACATCTTACAAGATGTTAGCCTATAAAGCTGGATTCATCAGCCACAGCTGTTCCCATTCCACCCAGTAGAGGGTAGCAGCACACAGAAATAGCATTTTCCATGGATGTGTGTTTTCTTAAGAGGCAAGCAGAAATCAGCTGTTTTGTTTTCAAAGATGCAAGCGAAGGAGCACAATATCTTCACACAGAAAAGTTCAGTATTCTAAATCTTACTCTTAACTACATACACTATTTTTGTTGAAGTGCAATCTTAAAATTCTATTATTGTCACAGAACAGTCAAAAATGGAAAACAAGGTTTCATACCACAATTTTTCAGTCACCAGCTACTTGAAATCTACCTTGCAGAAAGGAGCAAGGGCAGAACAAAGATTGGACAAATGTTTGATATGCCTGTCTTCTCACAGCTGTTATCCAGTCACTCCCAATTCCAGCTAACAGTTCATGATACGGTGCATAACGTTCCCCTTTCCCTTCTCCCTTAAAAGGAATGGGGAGGACAGGACAGGTGATTCCCTCAGATTGCCTGTGCTGCATAAAGTGACATTTTAAACTTATATAAGCGCAACAGCTGAAGTGGTATATGGATTAATTTCTCAAAGGGGTATGTGTGTGTTAGTAAAATCTGACATGTGTGCACAGTCACACACCCCTTTTTTAAAAAAAAAGTTTTGCTGTAGAAAAACTGGAACAGACTGTTACGTTTTGCTTCTGTTCAAATACTAAGCCATCAAGCAGTGTCTCAGTTCATCTGCCTTTTCTAAATAATAAGCTGCCTTGGCTTGAAAATGTGTTATTCAAATACATTATCTTCCTCAACTAGAGGGCTCCTTGTTTTTACACTGCGGTTGTCTAAATCTGTATACAATGTTCACTTTCTCATGCAGTTCTGTAATTTTGCTGTTGAAATTACAGGGAATGTTTATTACATGTTGCTGAATGACTCCACTTAACAACTGAGAAGTTGAGAGAGAATGAAAACCAAGACAGGGTATCAAGTTAAGTCATATGAATCTGATATACTTTAAAAACATACAGCAGGGATTTGGGGCCTCAATCAAGCAGAGCAGCTGAAAAGAAAATGGTGACCATATGAACAGAAGTCCAGAAGCAAGCTGAATCTGTTATTAGTCCTCCAAAATAGTCAACACCAGAAGCAAAAGCTCAGTAAAACACCACGGATCAGCCCTGTCACGCAGGCCCTCCTGCCGCAAGGTAACAGCATCCAGTGTAGAGAGTTATCTAACCATTCAAACCAAAGAGAAACTAAGTTTAAGCTGTTCAGTTGCCTCTCGTCAGCCACCAAAATGTGGTGAAAACCATCGTTTTCTGAATTTAGAATGAAGACAGACAAGAGTCATAATCTCATTTCAGAAATATGCAGATTACATAGCACATGGCAGGGAAAAGTCTTGTGTAAATACTACAAAAGCCATTGATAAAGCCCCATACTTGTTTCTTAGTAAACAAAATGAGGAAAATAACCTAGAGTTAAATCTGAGAGCAAAGGGGTTAACAAGCTTGGGCAAAAAGAAGTAGACCGTGATGGATTGATCTCCATCATTACACTTATTTAAAACAGTCACCTTAAACACAAACAGGAGGAAACACAAACTTGTAATCCCTATTGCTCTCCGTGCAGAAGAGAGTTAACCACTACAAGAATGGAAGAGTCAACCAGCTTCAAGATGAACTAAGTAGGAACCCCCCAGAAACTCCCTTGTGAACAGAAAGACCACAACAGAAACCCCAACCTTGGCAGAGGTACAAGAGCAGCAATTCTCCTTCTGTGGTCAATCCCACATACTCACTGTCAGGAGCATTCCCAGCAGGCCATAGATCAGCTCTGCCCAACAGTGGGGCCACGCTCCCAGGGAATTAAGCTGGAAAGTACCGAGCTGTGCAGGGTGCAACGGCAAGGGGGGGTTGTGCCAGCTGGGCTAACAGAGCTTGGGGCACAGCATCCAGCTTGTCTGTGCTTGCAACTACAACCAGGCATTTAGTGTTAAACTCAAGCCTGCTCATATCCCAGTCCCTAGGTCATGGCCACAAAGATCACGTACTGCTAGATTTAAGTTTCTACGTCCATTTCTAAATAGAAGGAGGGGGGGGAAAAAAGGCAACACACACCCCCACCCCTAAGTGACCTACTGCAAAAAATTCATACCAACGATGTAAGTAGGACAATGCACAAATGTTCTCAATTCAGATTTGAAGCACTTGTAGTATACCTAAAAGGTTGGCAGACTCCCCTTCTTCCATTTCAGCAATGTGAAAAGGCCACCCCACATTTCAGTTGCACTGTTAATATAACATACTGCTCCTTCCATGCTCATTATATGACAAATAACAAGACTGGTCTTGAAATGTTGCTAGTTAGGGGCAGTGGGAAGGAAAGGTAGAGTAATACCAAGTCTTCCATAACAGAGATCAGTTTAGGATACTCAGTCTAAAGAAAAAAAAAAACACTACACGCAAACCAGGGTACTTGAAGTCAGTCCTAAAACTTCCCCCCTTCCACCCTATCTGAAGAGGCAGAGATGACACAGTCAAAAGATTCATCAAGCTGTAAAATTAACTATCATCCTGTTGTTAATTTCACCATTTTCCCAAATTTATGAAAAAAAAAAAAAGAAGGCCTTGTAAACAAAAACCTTCAAACATGTAGGTTTTTCCAAACCACACAAATGTTCTGATAGACAGAAAGACAGAAATTACAAGAAAAGCAGAGACCTCCTTTCAAAGAAATTCAAAATCGCGTAAATTGCATTTAATTAATTGTTTATGTAATTAAGTAAAAACAAAACAATTGTATTTTTACTTAGAAGCAACTGTTTTAATATAAAAACTGGTGCCTTTCCAACACCCATTCGATAACTATTTAGTAACAGAAAGAAGATGCGTAAGCAAGTTTAGTAGGTTTTTGGTTTCTTTTTTTTTAAAGAGCTGCTTCACTGCATTAATTAGTATTTTAGAATTTCCACCAAAATTAAATGAAGAAAGAAGTCTAAAGCAAGAGGGGAACAGTTTTAGAGATAGTTAAAAGTGATTTATTTCAAAATAAATCAGCTATGGGTTGATTATTTCCCAAACAGGAAATATTTCCTGAATTGGTGGCATACAATTTTAGACACAAAACAATAAAGGGAGCCTACTTCAATTTAAACAGAATCAGTGAACCATATTACAGGGCTATTCATCTTTTACAGCCACAGCAGCCCAAGAAATACAACAGCAAGGCCATAAATGTGATTGCTTCAGGAAAGGCTGTACAGTGCACCGTAAAAACATTTTACAACAGCAGGAATTCCTGGGTGTCGCTCTCCCCATTTTTTGGTCCATCTGCTTTCAAAGGGGGCAGGGGGATGGGCGGAGATGTTGTTAAACGTCCCCTGGGACTGCACAGCAATCAATCATCATCTGATGAATGGCCACTAAAGTTAAACCCTGACCCCACTCCACAATTCCCACACCAGCCCTCCTCTCCTTACTGCTGACCAGCTTCCAGCATGTCCCCCCCCCCACCTTCCAGCCCTCACCAAAATTTCCCAAATACCAAGCCCAGACAAAAGCAATGGAATGTAGTAGGCACCATGACAGAGGAGAATGCAGCAGGAACAGCATCTGAGGAGGCTTATCCTTAACCTGTGTTTTAAATAAATGTGCTTTCTGTTCCCTTCCCAGATCGCAAACACTTTTCTCTTATTTCAGAGCACATTTAAGAGCATACATGCATGCAGTATCTAACCGTGTTTAAGCATTTGTTTTCTGTCACAACATTTCAGTGTCTTGCAATGATTTTATTTAAGCCTCCAGTGTTAAGAATTTGTACAAGGTAGAAACACATTAGGTCACATTATTTAAGTCTGATGCTCTAAAAGCTACTCTGTAATCTTAGCCAACAATTTAAAAAGTCTACAAACAGTAGCCTCTTGGTTTCTGCTTTTGGAAAACTTTCAGTATGGCATTTGTAAGTTAACATAGTTTGAGTTTATGACCAAAAAAAAAAAATTCATACTTGCCATAGTCAGCCTAAAGTTTTCCATTACTGAAGGTGTTTTATTATCTAGATCCCTTGACAATAACTCAAAACACCAGTGGCTTTGTTAGGTAGTGTGTTAGGCTTAGATGACTATGAGTTCAGTATATACTAATTTTCCAATGAATTTTGGTCTTCCTCCCTCAGCACTCTTTGCTTGTTTAGTGGGTTGTGTCTCGTCCATTCCGTGTCGTTGTCCCCGTACACAGTTTAGAGAAAATGCTGCTTCCCT